GAGATTACAGGCATTTTGACTCACCAACATGCAATTGCCCACGCAGTATCCGAAATGACCGCAAAACAAAAGAAGCAACAGTGAGAAAATCGAAAAAGATTAAGAAAAGAGACTCGTTCTACGAAAAAGAAGAAGGAGACGAGGAAGTGAGTGTGGAATATGAGACTGGAAACTATGCCACCGGGATCCGTGGCAAGAACTCGAATCATTCGCCAAAATGGTTACAACGCATCTGGCGTAAGATTCGTCCAAGCAGATCCCACCGCCAGAACTTGAAGGCTATTTCCACGTCGCAGATTAAAGTTGCTGAATTGCCCTCATCCCTGCCTGAAGCAGAGGCACCACACCCAAATACCAATCCCGTCCGACACAGTCTACCATTTTCGCATAGGACAAGACATGAGAATAGCTTGCTTCCCGTTCTGCCGACGGCTGCATCATTTTTTGCCATGGCAACCACCAGTTCCAGCGGAGTTGAAGAGTCAGGCTGTAGAGACCGTCAGAAGGAAGTGAATAGCTCGTTTAGTGGTGAAGATGCTAGTGTTTTGGCGGAAGCGGGAATCACAGATAGAACCGTCATCGAAATGAAGTCATGCCATCTGGTAAAGAAATTGCATGCTGACAAAGAATATGTGGACAATGAAGACGTTTCTCCTTCGGGGCTGAGAATTGAGCAGATCTGTGGTGGTCTTAAGGCCGATGAATGCGAAGGAAACCTGACAACGACTGACAGTTCTGAGCATTTGTGGCAAGGAAATGACCACTTGTCGCATAAAACTATTTCCAGTCCATACAGGCATCCTCTGCCGCAAACAATGCTTTATGATCCAGGCAATTGTGGACAAGTGAATCAAGGATGTGGCCACATTCGAACTTCGCCAAGAAGTCGAACAACCCAACAGGCAATGACAGAGACAATGACAAAAGATACCAATAATTCGCTCGTGACTGGGCTAGCAAATCCGGACACGATGAGCAGGACATTTGAGCGCGGATCTTCTCATCCTGTCAACCAGTTGGCAAAATGGCCAACTTCAAAATCCCGAATCGCTCTACATCCGCCGCGAACGAGTGCTTCATACGAAGGGAAATCTAGACGCACTGTCACACAGACAGTGCTCGAGAGGGAAGTTGCCCTACAAACCGAAGACAGTCATACACGAACTCTTGACACGGCGCGACGTGTCAGGCTGGCCAAAGGTATGGGGATGTTGCCCAAAATCATTTTAGACTCGAGGGTCAAATTGAAGACTTTCATCCGTTAGCGACGCAATGTTCATCTGGCAATGTGGAGTCCGAGAAAAACTGCTCATTTCTGTATCATCCTTGAGACTTTGAACCATTCGAATTTTTGAGTTTTGCTTCAA